TTAATCAACATATTTTGTACTATTTCGACTTTTCGATCAGTAGATATTTCCATATGTCGACATTTTCACATCTCGGAGTACTTATCTTTCGATATTTTTATTTATCAATATTTAGTTTTTCGGCATTTTTATATTCGATATTTTTACTGCTCGATCTTTTACTTTCGACAATTTTATCGTTCGATATTTTTCTAATTTTTTTTCGACACTTTTATTTTCGGTAAAAGTAGTATTCCCCTTTCGTCAACGTTTATAAAATTTCATTATTTTTTGCAAAAAATCCTTCCCTTCACCCTAAAAATCATTTCAAAATTTTGAAAAACTAATGTAAGATTCGGATTTCCTGACCTCGATTTAATTTCGTGAAAATTTATGAAAAATGGATCATGGATGTTTTTTTGACCGTGCGACAAGCAAAGAAACTTTTTCTTTCATATGACTCTCCCTTCGGCTGTGAGAACTTTAATAAACTATATCTATTAGAGAAAGCGTTCATTGTCATGACTTCTTTCTGACAACAACAAGCATTTTTAACTTTAATCACTATAAACACAATCTTAATTAAATGAAAGTTCGCTACTTCACATAATAAAAGCAGAAATTTTTCTCGAGTATAGCTGTGTCATGTGAAAGATGATACGGAGTTATTAGTTCAAGCAACTATACAAAAATATAAATATATGTGACAGGCAAATTTGATATTCAGGCAAAAATGAACTAATGATAAAATTTGTTTTGAAAATATTGTATATAATTTTGCCTAGTCAAAATTAAATCAGTGCATGATTGATATTAAACAACAAGTTGGCATATAAGCTTGAATATTCTTCTGAAATTTTATTTTTTCATTGAATTCCTTTTTTCGTTTACTAAAACTATTAATTTTTTTAAATGATGGGGACATGGAGACATTGATGATTGGTTAGATTTTTTTTTTCATTTACAAAAAATTCGTATTTTCTTGAATGATGGGGATATAGCGATTTCGGATGTTTGGTGACGTTTTAAAACGTAGTCTTTTTTAGCCCAATAAATTTGTTTGTATTTTTCATCAGAAGAACAGTGGATGCTTGATTGAATTTGAATGATTCGTAAGGTTTCTATCGGCAGCGTCTATAATGCATTTGGATTGTTTTCTAAGTTTTTCCATTTTATATTATTTTGTTTTTATTGATTAATTAATTGATTATTGTGGTAGAATGATTAATTAAGAAAATGACTTTACCATGGTTCAAAACCTGTTTTATCTGATTTTATATATAATAAAGATTATTTAAAAATTTTCGGATATCATGTGTTATCAAGATGTTGGTCGATTACAGTTCGCTTCTCACTAATCGATAAATTCAGTAAAAAACTGTTTAGAGAATTTGTATAGATTTTCCAAGTTTCCTTTTTCTTTCTAAGCATGATTTTGAATTTCATAGAAATTATTAGCATGTATTGTAACCGATTCGAGCAAGGGTTTTGGGAGTTTGGAAAAAATTTAATAATATTGATATAATATAGATAAACTGTTTTTCGAGTCTTACATGCTGAGCATTGTGCGATAAATATTTGTAATGATGAACAATTTATTCAACTGTAATTTGTTGCAAAATATTCGAGACATTTGTCTCGACCATCATGAGCAGTCTGGTGATGGCTCGTCTGATAGATATCCTACATATCCTGATATAAAACCACGGGTTTAACTTCTTTAAAATCACATACAAGTTAATGACTACCGATGAGACGAAGCGTGAATGTTTGTTTACACCAGTGAGAAAAACGTCCGGAAACCTTTTCAGTAGATCACTTGCTCTGAAGTACATTAATTATTTTTTCGTTTTGATCACGAGTGATAAAAGCTTTTTTACGAAATTTAGGATTTAATGCATCATTATCCTTTTTAGCGATTTCAGAAAATTTTTCACGTGCAAAGTCATGAATATTATGCTAACAAGGGCTTGCTTCTTGTAATGGCATTGTTGATATTGCAAAAAAAAGTTATGGAAAGCTATTTAGCACTCGATAAATTTTGTTTATGAAATTGAAAAAACTTGGCAATTAAATGACATGAAATAATTATATAAACAGCTAATGGATTCTGCCTATGCAAAATTGAAATTGATAGAAGCGCCAAAGAAAAAACTAATTTTGCCCGAAATTCAAGTTTGCCTGTGGCATATTCGTAAAATCAGTATCTTTGAAAAAAGACTTGAATAAATATTTCACAATTTTATTTTCAAAATGAAAAGAAAATAGTATATAATCTATTTTGACTAAATAAAATCTAATATCATGAATGAAAATTTTAAATTGTTGTCCTTATTTCTTTCTAAGACTAGACATTATTCATAAAATAAATTTTATCACATTAATAGATATTGATATTGATTTGAATCGATTATTATTTCTTCTCATAATAAATTAATAACTTCAGAATGAATAGAATTTAATTGACGAAATTTTGGTTGATATAGACTAGAATATTCAACATTTCTGAATCTAAAACTCAACTATAATTGTATATCTTCGCTAAAGAAACGCAATAAAGTGGCTTACTCCACAACTTCACCCAAAATGTTGAATGCTTTACGCAAATCGATAGATTGTTCTACAATTTGTGCAGACATGTTTATTAGTCTTTTTACTGTAATAACATATTGTTTTAGATTTTTACCAGTAATGTTTGTCATTCTACGAATATAGCTTTATTACTGTACAATTGCTTCAAAATGCTTTCTTATTTGAGATATAATAGTTGATCATTTCACACTTGTTTAACTATATATTGCTTCGGGTATTTGTCAAGCACCTTGTGAGATCAATAGAACAGAACAAATGTGTTTTATTTTATTTTCTTTATTGAGTTATTACCATAGTTTTCCAACATTTCATCATAGAGACAAACTGAAATGTTTTAATTTCATTCTTTTCCTTTATTTAGATATTCTCACAGTCTTTAATAATATCATGTAGTAAATCAGATAGGTTGCTGTAGTTAAGATTTCTTTTTCTGCGTATATTTACCTTCCGTCATCATACATTTTTCTGTCACAAAATCAATTGTTAATTTTATATTTCTTTTGTTTCAAAATTTATGGCAATAGCATTTATGAATCTTATAACAGAGAAATTCAGGAAGTTAGTGTTGTTGATTTTTCTCGATCGTAGTCATTCACTTTCCGAAAAAGTCGGAAAAAGAAAATTGCTTTTGACTCCCGTTTCTTTCTTTCTTTATTTTGACTAAGAAAAAGAACAACTTCAAATATCTCATTTCTTTTAGTTATTCTAATAACTGTCTATAGTATCTTAGGACAAAGATCAAATTATTTTGTATACTTCAACTTTATTTTCGTTATAGTGATAGTTATTCAGGACTTCACAAATGACAGTAACTATTGTAGTTAAGTTTAGCTCTTTATTATATATTTAGTTCTGCTAATAGTTTTTTTAAGATGCATGAGATTCAAAATTTAAGCAGGATTCTTTGTTTCGAGATAGTTATACATAGGTAGATAGAGCTCGTCGAGCTGAACAAGAATATATGCATTTTAAGTTATTTAAAATTATTTTAAGGCCACAAATTTGAAAAAAGCTACAAATTTTGAAAATTCTAAAAAACTATCGAATTTTAGGAAAATACGAAAAATCTTTAGATTTCTGGCATTTAATTATATGGATGATATATTATTTTTATTCTACATAGAAAACTGAACGTATAAACGTATTTTTTGTGATATTCAAATATTTCGCAAACATAAAAAAACCACTCATTTTGTTCTCAAAGTCAAATCCTTGCTTTTACCCCTGGCAAACTTATCAACTATTCGCAGATAAGAAATGAACCTAATATTCTTAGATGATTTTGCTCAACACAATAGTGTGAAAAAAATTATGTATCCTTTTTTCTAAATTTTGTTCGGTTCTTAAGATATAGCAATTTTCTTAACCAATGCCATAAGGGACACGTGACTACTGATTCAAACGAGACATTTTCGCTCTAATTGATTTTTATAGATAACATATGACTAAAAAAGGGAATGTAAAAATCATTTTATAGACATACTGCAGTAAAAAAAAAATTTTTAACAGGTCTCCAGAAGATCTTTGTACTGGGAAACAGGATTTTCAGAAACTTCTTGAAACTGTTGACAGATATCTTATTTTTTCGTTAGATTGATCATTTATTTCGATATTTCGTAAAATTAAAAAAAGGGCAAAATGTAATGTCTTAAATATATGATAAGAATAAATAAAGGTATTCAGTATTGAGAAAGTGTTATTTATTCGATTGACAGAGGCCAGTGTTCGTAATCTTTCCATGAGAACTAACATTAACTTTACATAGCTGATTAAAAAATAATTTTGAAACTTGTTCGTACGATTGTTCCTCTTCATATGCAATCAACGTATGTCAGAATCGACGAAATAGTTTTATATTCACAATCTTTTCGATGACAGCCAAGCGTAACTCTTTAAACAACTTTATCATCGCTGAGAATGTCTGATCTCTACGTTTTCTCACGAAAGCCTTTTGATGGTACCATAGGCCTTCAATAGCATTACGTTCACAGTGATATTTTGGAGTAAAATAGATTTTAACATTGTATTGTTTCCCTATATGTTCTAACTTAGACATCTAAGTAGCAAGATAACTAAAATAGTAGTAAGAAAGGCTAGAAATCAAGGCTTACATTTTGAAATGCTTTATGCTTGCTCATCAAATCTTTCAATTCTTCAGTTTATATATTTTTCGACAGCGGAATGCCCAACTCTTTTGCCATTACCAGCAATCCTTTACTTTTCCCTTTATTTTTACCTAAGTTAAAAAAGCATTTAAACGTTTACTTTATATTATTTTCGTCAATGTATTCAATAACATTTACGAAACATCTGGTTCTTATGTTTTTGCTGAAATCCTGAAAAGAGTATTCCTTTGGTGAATGCGTTCTTACATTGTCTACAATAATCTCAACAGAATGATTTTCATATGCTTTTTTAAATTTTATTAATTAAAATAAACGTTCAAATTGCATAAGTGTTGTATCATTATCAAAATATCTTCCTACTCCCAAATTAATACTTGCTGATGTGGATTGTGGCAAATAATTAATTGCGTCATCATGTGCTAACTGAGTATACTCTTCCACTGCTAACTTCCATTCATCATCATTCAAGGCAAAAAATGAACCACTAGGATACTGCACTATAAAATCACTAATCATTAATAATCGACCACGTCCTTTGCTATGAAACAGTCTTTTTCATTACAAAACCAACGTTTAGTAGACACTTCTTCAGATCCGAAGGTGGATTCATCATGACCCGAAAGACAAACAGGAAAACTCAAATATGGACGGCAGTCTTTCGATCATTTTTCTAAACGCCTACACAATAAAACAATAGGATTATGATGAGGTATGATCCACTTTGGATCGTCACCGTCTGTAACCAAATAATAGTTATCTTTCTTCGTTAAAAAATGATTAATAAATTGCTCGCGATGAAATTTTACATCGTCACGTTCGTGGTCTTCAAAATACGGTCGTTAAATGTTGAAATCAAAATTGCAGCCCAATCGTCTTAGGTCCAACCTACACATTCTTTCTGTCCGAACTAGTTCACCGCATGTCTTTGACTCCCCTGTCACTTCATAGAACTTTTGATCGATATATTGAGCAAGATCCATCGCACAAAAATCAGCTGATTTTCTTTGGCAAGCCTTAATTGAGAAAAATCTTGCATCGGTTGTAATTTCTGGATATAGGTAAAAAAACTATTATTTTGTTTTTCTCCCATGTTTTCACGAGTAAACTCTTCATAATCACCTTGAATGAATTCTTCTGACCATTTATGACTTGTAATGCAAGTTAAAGCACCAATTTGCTTCAAAAATTCATCTATTTCCTTCCAGGAAATATTAAAGTATGGTAATGATAGATACATTAACACTGAAATTGTGCCTAACGTACACTGTGTTTTGCATAATTTAGACAAGTCAGCAAGATCTGTTAGTTGAATTTTACTCCTGAAATTCGGTTTCTCTATACAAGAATCATGTAAACAATTCAACTCCACTGAACGCTTGTCATCATCGGTGCACTCAGCAACATTTTCATGAGACCAACGTTTCGTGAATGCTGTTTTATATTGCAATTTTCTTTTCGAACTTAGCGCCATTTATACTACGATAAGGAATCTAAAAAGTAGGTAAGACGTGCCCTATACGGATCAGATATAAAAACCAGTATGTCCCCACACATTGCATAAAACTTGATGTACTACAAACCCAATATGTGAAAACCCAGGACGAGCATTACGACAATCGTAAACGATCGTATACGACGTCGTATACGATCGTGAACGGTCGTATACAGTGCACATTACGATCGTATACGACCGTATTTCGCCGTATTACTTGACACCTGAATTACGGCCGTATATCGTCGGGTCGTATACGACGTGTATACGACCACCGTAAACGGTCGTACACAGTCGTATACTATGTCGTTTTTCATCGTATTTCATTCAAAATTTTGCCACCTAGCACCCCCCCCCCCCCCTTTGACTTTCCAAAGAAGAAAAAACTACCCACGTCGTCGATAACGGTTAAATAGCGGCGTGATAACGGCGTTAT